GATCTGGAAACCCTAATCCTTCCAAAGCAGGAGGTAGCCACATAACCTTAGGGAATATCTTATATTTTAATGTACAACAATTTAGTCACTAAATGATCAATTACAGTGGATTGAAAACCACATTTTAAAAATTCAGCATAATGCAGGCAAACTATGACTACAGTTAAGTTGGATATTAATTTCTATTTTAGCTACTTTTGGCTTACATTTTGCTAGTGAGAATTCCTTATGAATTCTTGACATTTCCACTTTTGTGAATAAGCATGACTTCTTAGTAAGTCCTAGTCCGAATGTATCAATATGTCATGCTTTATTGCCATGGAATTAGGAATTTGGATTTTAAACAAGACTTAGTACACATTGATGTATCTAGTGCACATTATATGTTTTTCATAATGCAATATTGTTTGCTCCTAGGCTGCTCAAATAGCTATTCACTTTGATTGTTACTTATTTCCCCTTTTTATAAGAAGTCTGGCATACATTTATCATATTACCTTGCATTATTATCATTCATAATAACAAAGTACTAGACATGTGCAATTCGTTTCATTCCTAATGGCAATACATCCAAATGTCTGAATAGCTGAATTGTAGAATTGCTGAATTGCCGAAGTGCCGGAGTAACGAAGTTCCGAAACTGACGAATTTCCGAAGTGTCGAAGTTTCAAAGTGCCGAAGTTCTGAAGTGTCGAAGTGCTGAAGTGCCGAAGTTCCGAAACACAGTATTGCCGAAGTACTAATATGCCTACCCAGTGGAAGAATGAATAATGTTACACTGTATACAAGTTTAAATAAAAAGGATACAAACAAAGCCAGCATTTGCAACACTTACGACAATCAAGTAACACACATTCATATAAAATGTAAGTTACTTAGCCAGTCAATGGAATGACAGGAATGAATAAGTAGATAACTCCCTAATTCCCACGGTATTAGGGAGCTATCTACTAAAAGGCTGAAAGACCTAAAGGCTGAAAGACCTGAGTGTGGGTGGGGGCCCTAAATACCAATAAGGGGGGAGGACCTATTGTCCTCCCCTGACCCCCACCACTGAGCGGTGAATGGGGGGCCCTAAATACCAATAAGGGGGGGACCTATTGTCCTCCCCCTGGCCCCCACCCCTGAGCGGTGGGTGGGTGCCTTAAATAAAAATGTAACCTGCCCCCAAGGTGACTAGTGGTCCCCAAACCCCTTGTCAACCCCCTCCCCCAAAAACATAACCCCTACCTACCTCCCTCACCCTAAAAACAATGAGAGGGGACCACTAACTAGATACCTGTAAAAAAAAAAACTTACCATTTGATGTCTTCTTTCTTATAAAATCTTCTTTTTTTCAGCCCCAAAACAGGCCAAATAAAAATCCATAATAACCGACGCACATAAAAAAGAAAAAACTAGAGCGCAAAAAAAAGATTCCATCTTCACCCATGGAGGGCACCGGGCAGACTGAGCTCCGCTGGGTGGGGGAAGGCTTATAAAGGCGTATAAAGCCTTGCCTTGCCCTGCAATTAGGCTCAGAGTATTCTGGTTGGTTGATTTAAGCCATCCAATTAGAGTGCTCTGACAGGTAAATGAAGGGACTGACAGGTAAGTCTCTACATTTACCTGTCACAGCACTCTGATTAGTTAGCTTGAAATCCAGCCAATCAGAGTGCTCTGTGTCATTTTACACAGCGTGGGAAAGTTCTTTGGAATTTTCCCACGCTGTGTAATTTGACTCATAACAACACTCTGATTGGTGGATTGAAATTAAGCAATCAGAGAGTTATGAGTCAAATTACACAGCGTGGGAAAACACAGGCTGTTTAATAGACAAGCCCCTACTCGCGGTATAGCGAGTAGGGGCAAAATTTACTAATACTTAGTAATTTTTACTTAGTATTAGTAAATGTGGCTGAAAGACCAATTTTGGTCTTTCAGCCTTTTGGTAGATAACTCCCTAATACCGTGGGAATTAGGGAATTATCTACTAAGCGGCTGCAAGAGAAGTCCCGAAGTGCCGAAGTCCTGAAATTCCAAAATGCCGAAATTCCGAAGTGCCGAAGTTCCGAAGTTGCCGAAGTTCCGAAGTGTCGAAGTGCCGAGTTGCCAAAGTTCCGAAGTGTTGAAGTGCGAAGTACCAAAGTTCCGAAGTGCCGAACCAAACCGAAGTGCCAAAGTTCCGAATTGTCAAAGTCTCGAATTTCGGAATGCCGAAGCGAAAATTTTCCCCATGCACATCCCTACAAAGTACATCAAACATTTAATGCATACATGAAAGGGCGTTTTGGAGCACCAGTACAATTTCATTGATAGGTGTTGGCTTCATTAATATGCTGTATTTTTGCATTATTTAATCTTTATTGCTTTCACACAAAATAATACATGTTTTGCAGAATGCTGAACCATACGCCTGCCTCCTTAGCCAAACCCCATCATTCCAAAAAAAACAAAAAACTATAATAAACATATGCATACAGCTCAGTCACTGGCAGTCACTGTTATGGACTGAACTACGAACAAATAAATTGCCCCGGATATATGCCATGGCAGCATTACGTATGGGTATAGCTCCTCCCCTTCTCAATTGGACAGGAACCACTTTCTAATTAATTAATAAAAGAGACTTCCTCCCATGTCCCTTCAGTCTTTTTTTCCTGTCCACTTATCGTGGACATAGGCTGTTTCATCTCCTCTTTTTTATTGTGTGGCTTACTCTGGTCTAATTGTACACCGTGCCCATGGGGAGTTCAGCCTCTCTTCCCATGGAAGCCTCAGGACACGGTGCCTCACCAAGGGCGACCCCCTGGAGGATTCTCCCCTCAGCGAAGTGCCGAGGTGCCAAAGTTCCGAAGTGTTGAAGTGCCGAAGTGCCAAAGTTCTGAAGTTCCAAAGTGCCGAACCAAACCGAAGTGCGGAAGTTCCGAATTGTCAAAGTCTCGAATTTCGGAATGCCGAACCGAAAATTTTCCTCATGCACATCCCTACAAAGTACATCAAACATTTAATGCATACATGAAAGGGAGTTTTGGAGCACCAGTACAATTTCATTGATAGGTGTTGGCTTCAATAATATGCTGTATTTTGCATTATTTAATCTTTATTGCTTTCACACAAAATAATACATGTTTTGCAGAATGCTGAACCATACGCCTGCCTCCTTAGCCAAACCCCATCATTCCAGAAAAAAAAAAAAAAACTATAATAAACATATGCATACAGCTCAGTCACTGGCAGTCACTGTTATGGACTGAACTACGAACAAATAAATTGCCCCGGATATATGCCATGGCAGCACTACGTTTGGGGATATAGCTCCTCCGCTTCTCAATTGGACAGGAACCACTTTCTAATTAATTAATAAAAAGAGACTTCCTCCCATGTCCCTTCGGTCTTTTTTTCCTGTCCACTTCTCGTGGACATAGGATGTTTCATCTCCTCTTTTTTATTGTGTGGCTTACTCTGGTCTAATTGTACCCCGTGCCCATGGGGAGTTCAGCCTCTCTTCCCATGGAAGCCTCAGGACACGGTGCCTCACCAAGGGTGACCCCCTCGAGGATTCTCCCCTCAGCGGCTGGGGAGCTATTCTGCAGTGACCCTATAGGTAGCAGCTGGATGTGCCAGACCCATTGTGGTGGTAATTCCCAAAGATGGGTACACCTACTTGCTGCATAAGTTGGGCTTCTTGGCTTTCCCATGAAGGTATCCTGTCCCGTCTCCTGGTGATATAAGTGGCAGCTCCTGGAAAGATTTCTGCCTGACCAGGGGGCTTTTCTTTTCTTTTTCTTCTCCCTTTAGCTTCTTTTCTGCTCTGTGTTGCACGTTCTGGTTTTGGAACGAATATTGGAACGCATGCCAACTGCGTGCTCTCTCTTTCCGGCACTTCCGGTTTCCGGCACTTCCGGTTTCCAGCACTTCCGTTGCATTATTTCCAGGTGTTCGGCCTATCGCGTTCCTCACTCCGGTCATGGAATGCACGTGGAACGCACGCCGGAGTGAGGCCAGTTGCAAGGGAATTTTACTTCCGGGTTCCTATGTTTTCAATTTAAAGTGGTCAGCGACACTTGGATTTCCCTCTATCGGTTTCTGGATCCCTGTATCTCTCTCTAAAGTGATCACATTCTATCCTAGCTGCAGGTAAGTGAAATATTTGTTATTTCTTTTGATTTAAAATGATAAGGAATAGAGTTCCTTAATTATTGTTTATAGTCCTTTAGGTAACTTATAGGTAAGTTAGGTAATTTTTTTTTGATTGCTAGAAACTTTGTTTTTAATTTTCTAGCTGCCCTCCTAGGATGGAGTCCACCGGTCATTCTTCAAAAAATAGGTTGCAATCTCGAGGTTCAGAGTAAGTCACCTTTATGTTTAGCATTTACTATACAAATTAAAAAGAGTGCATTTCATCTATCTAATTGGAGGATTTCAGTTCTGCCCACAGATCCTCATACAGGAAAAAGAAGGAAAAGACCCCCTTGTGTGAAGCTTGTGATGATAAGGTGCTGCCTGGGAAAATACTTTGTTTAGCTTGTCTGGGAAAAGACTTTGTTTAGCAGCGGCAGGTCATGCAGAACCGGAACCAGATGTTCTCTCTTACATCCGTCAAGTAGTTTCAGAGGGTCTTCGGCAGTCTGAGATGGCAAAGAAAAGACATATATCTTTTAGCCCGGAAGAATATGCTGATTTGAGCTCAGATTAATATATGCCCCCAGTATTTGAAGAAGATGAATTTTCATCTCAAGATGAAGAGTCTGGGGCCTCTCCTGTCTTTATAGACAATGGTAAAATGGAAGCTCTAATCAAGGCGGTTCGTGATACCTTGGACCTTAGTGATAAGGGAGAGGAAGAACCAGCTTCTAGTAAGCATTTTGCAGACCTAAGAAAGCGCAATTCTACTTTTCCATTGCATGAGGCCATTGAAGACCTTATTAAGCAAGAATAGAAGAAAGCTGAGAAAAGAGATTCTATTCAGGGTCGTTTTTCTAAACTTTACCCTTTTAATTCCGATGACAGTGTTTCTTGGGATCTTGCCTCCAAAGTGGATGAAGCAATTGTCCGATTAGCCAAAAAGACTTCCGGGTTCCTAGTGGATGATGCTGGTACTTTACGTAATCCCATGGATAAACATATGGATTCTAACTTATCCAAAGCCAATGTTGCCTCTGGCTCTGGGCTTCATCCTGCCGTAGCCTTGACATCCATTTCCAGGGCCTTAAAGCAGTGAATGTATGATCTCGAAGAAGACATTTCAAGTGTAGTCAGTAGATCTAGGCTCTTGGAATCTTTGAAAAAAGTTAAATTGGCTATTGAATTTTCATTGGAAGCTTCTATAGATTTGGTGAGATCCATCTCCAGAAGCATGGTCCTGTCAGTAGCATCAAGAAGTGCTCTTTGGCTACGTAATTGGGTGGCAGATACCTCTTAAAAAAATAGCCTGTGTGCCCTCCCTTTTCATGGGGATATGCTTTTTGGCAAATATCTGGACAAATGTATTAAAAGGGCAGTGGAAGTGTGTAAGGCCTTTCTTCCTCAAGATTGACAACCTGAAAGATCTTTTCCACAGGACAGACGTTCCTTTTGGGATAAGGACAATACAGGCCTGGTAGAGAATTTTTCAGATTCCAATCTTAGAAAGGATGGACATTCCTCTTCCAAAAACTCCCGGGGGCGAGGTGGCAGTACCAGGCCGTCAAAGCAACATTTCTCCAGACCACATTTGTTCAGAAGCAACATGGTCCTCCTTTAACACATTTATTCATCACTATCAGCTGGATGTAGTTCGTTCCTCTACCACGGAATTTGGTAGAAGTGTCCTCTCCGCTGCCTTATAGTTGATTTGTCAATAAAGAGTTTTAATTTGCATTGACTTGAGCATTTTTCATTATTTTTATTTTCCCCTCCCTTGTACTTTCCGGCTTGGGTATAACCCATATGTAGGGCTGCCATGGATATTGTA